TGTCAGACAGTAGGTCGGAATGGATGATCCTAGTGTCCCTTCTGATAATGTACTCTGTGCATCTATCGATAAAGAAACTGGATCAGGCATTTATATTTATTGTGTCAAGAGCTTAGCTAAATTCGATTCATAGTGGCTGGGCACATGTAGGTGCTGCTGTGAGCACCTCCTTTCTTTAAAGCTGGCTGAGACGAGGACTGAAATTTTCCATCCTGGGTGTCTGCTCTTGGTTGAATTGTTTTTTTTTTTTTTTAAGTTTCAGGCATAAAACTTCAGCCACATTAAGAAATGGGTTAATGTTGTTCCTCTCAGCAGGACCAAACACCATCTAGATTATTCCTCACAGGTGTCTCTCTAACCTACTCTTAAATATTTCCACTGATGGAGGTTCCACAACACCACGCTAAACTCGGGATCTGCAGCCTGCCTCCAAACAGCCGCCATGAATGTGATGTGTGTGTAAGTATTGCCGTGCCATTAACAATCCGTACCAATGAATAAACCTCAATACTGCTCTAGTTCACCCTTTCTCTGGGTTCATTCCTTGGCTGGTTTCAAGCACTGGTAACAATCAGAGGCCAACTTTTCTCTCTACCCCTTGTAACACCCTTTTGGATATTTGAAAATTTCTATTATATCCCTTCTCAGTCTTCTCTTTTCCAAACTAAATAAGCCCAGTTCTTTAAGTCTTCCCTCATAGCTCATGTTTTCTAGGCCCTTAATCATTTTTCTTGCTCTTTCTCACAACAATGAAGTTGGACAAAACATGCCTATGTTCAAATAAATACTGTAATGTTTCTAGTGTGGCGCTCCAGCATCTCCATGACACTCAGCAGGTTAAAGTCAGGTAAGAACATTTAACAGCAAGAGCCCCGTGGGGCAGAAGGAGGAGGTGACAGTTTCTGTGCATTAACACACAGCTGGCTCCTCAGGTTTTTCCTCAACTCTTACTCCAAGGGGAATCTTGCCTCAATGGAGCTCGAGCAAACTAAGGGCCATGGTCTCAGAATTCAAACACCCCAACCCTGTTCTCTGTCCCTTCACATCTACTTCGCCCTGGGTTTGTAGAGCAGGGGAGCTCCTCAGCAAGAGATAGTACCTGTGAGTTCTCAGATGGAAGTGTCTTTTCTCGGAGTCCCTTCAGGTAGCTGCGTCCCACACCTCTCTCAGCCCAACATCTCAGCATCTACAGCAGCATCTTACGCCGAGAGATGACCCACAACTGTGCACTGGTTATAATACAGCTCTGTGTGGTCCCTGAGGTGTTCGCTCAGCATCTAGGGGAGAAGTGGCATCTAGATGTAAACACAGTGGTTAAAAGCCTGACTGCACTTCTGGGCTATTTACCCAGTGTTAGGAATAAACAGTAATTAAGGGGCCTTCCCAAAGGGAGATGAGAACTCCTGGGTCCTGGGCTAAGTCAGACAGAATTTGATTGCTCTGTGCATGTATCTATATTTAGAATTATAGATGATTCAGGAAAAGAAAATTAGGGATAATATTGTTGACTAATATCCAGCTTCTCATCCTCTGTAATCCCTACTTCGAACTACCGTTACTCCTCCTTGCAGGAGGAGTAACGTTAGTTCAAATTAGGAGCTTTAATTTGAACTACCTAGCCCGTGCCATGTGTAGCCGTGGGCAGGGAGTTCGAACTACCGGGCATTTAAAAATGACGGCACCCAGGAACATGCAAATAAAGCCCGGGATATTTTAATCCTGGGCTTCATTTGCAAGTTCGAATGACTACATTAGCCACCCTGGTTCGAACTAGAGTGGCAGTGTAGACATACCCTGAGTGTAGTAAGGTCACCAAAGGAGTAGGTCAGGATTTACTGCCGAGGTGTCCTGACAGGTCTCCAGCTCTGTCAATGATGATAACCAGAAGGCTGCGTGCATGTGTGCTCAATCATGTGTGCCGTGTGGACTTGCACAATTAGTCACTGCAGCAGACTCCGAGAGAGCCTCCAAAGACCATACATCAGATAAGGACTGAAGGACCACGGCTAGTTTATTTTAAATCAAAGTACAGTAATAATTGTCGGTAGACTATAACGAACCACTACCCACATGTACCCCATAACAATGGACTCAGCTCAGTGAATGGGACATCCCACTGCCCCCTTGGCTGGACAAAGAATGTCCATCCAATGACACCACTTTATACACAGGTACGAACAAATTACAGTAGACTTCCAATAATCTGGCACATTTGCGACCTAGGTGGTGCCAGATTATCGGATATGCCGGAGTATCAGGAGGTACTGCATACTCCCAACCCAATCCCCCTCCAGCTCCCCACCTTATGCTCAGGTCCTGGAACCACCAGTACAGACGCACATCTCCCTCCAGGCACTGGGCACGAGCGCTGAGCGGCCGGCTTTTCAATCAGCTGGCAGGGACACCATGCATAACCCAATCTTCTTCCCCCTCCCCTTCCGCTTTCCCTTCCCCGGAGCCAAACACTTCTCCTCCCTGCCGTAACCCACATGAGAGCGGCTGACCTGCGCGGTTCCGGGTTCCATCCTGGTTCCGTCAGGAGCACTTGCCATTTTGATGCCAGACTATCAGGCGTGCCAGACAATTGGGCGCCGGACTATTGGAGTTTTCCTGTACACATAACTTCTGATGTGTCTGGTTACCACCCTCTGATGTTGCCCCCTCTGACACTACTTAGATACCACCCATCGCCCTGCAATTTGTGGTTTGATTAGAACACATCTATCCATCATGATGTCAGTTTAAACCCTTTCCTGAACCTGGGTCGGTATCTGCGGGGAGTGTGGGTATCAATGTCTTTTTTAATGAGCTCGTGTTACCATTCTTTTGGAATGTGCTTTCAACGTATGACCAGTACCAATGACTGTTTGACAGCTGGTATCTAGTACCAATGACTGTTCTACACCCGGACCTATTACCAATTAGTGTTTTACACTCTCAGCCCTCTTCATGCCAAGTTCTGTGAGCAGGGCCAGCCTCTTGCTCACGGTTTAACTCTGCTTTATATTAGCCAAGTGTTGTCTATTGTTAGCTAGGCCTCAGGTCTCACACCAGCCCTGTGAAAAAAGGGCCCATATTTCAGGTCCTCATCTTTCTACACTGAGAAACAGTGAAGGAGGTACACCTGGGTGAGGCAGGCACTGAAACTAATCTCCCTGGAATGGAACAAGAAGATGCTCAGAATTCTGGGTATGGCTGGCAGCTGTTGCACGGTTGTATGACGAGAACATGGTGTGATGCTTTATGACTGAATATGGCCAATTTTATCAATGTTGCTACCAGGGTTCTACAATAACAATGAATGGTGTACAAGGTATGTCCTGTCAGGTGTCAATGGAACATTCTGATTGGCTAAGTATGACTAGCTTAGTTATATGCTAATATGTTTATATATTTACTGCTTCAAGTTCCTAAAAGCGTGTTACAAGGATGAGGGAGAAAAATTGTTCTCCTGGGCCCCTGAGGACAGGACAAGAAGCAATGGGTTTAAACTGCAGCAAGGGAGGTTTAGGTTGGACATTAGGAAAAACTTCCTGCCTGTCAGGGTGGTGAAACACTGGAATAAATTGCCTACGGAGGTTGTGGAATCTTCAACACTGGAGGTATTTAAGAGCAGGTTAGGCCGACACCTGTCAGGGATGATCTAGATGGTGTTTGGTCCTCCCATGAGGGCAGGGGACTGGACTCGATGACCTCTCAAGGTCCCTTCCATTTCTAATGTTCTATGATTCTATGCACGTATCATCTCTGTGTCTGCAGTTATGATGTTGGTGATGTACGGCCACCAGAAGAACAGGGCCAGTTCTTGGCCAGAGCAATGGTGTGGAGGAGTCAAGACTCCGAGCTCTTATTCTCAGCCCTGCCACTCACTCATTCTATGGACTTGGGTGAATCCCTTTACCTCTGCTCGGATCAGTCCATCCATGACATGGGATAACACTGCCTAGCAGCCACTCTAAACAGCTTCTAAATGTAATGACCAAAAGCACCGTGTGGAGTGTATGTTAGACTCAGCATCACTGCTCAGCCTCACCCTGGGCACTGGGTGCCCTGTAATCCCAGATAAGGTGCCGTGTATGCATAAGAATAGCCAGCTAATGGAAGATGCCCTTTGTCCCCCTCCCTTTGAGCTACTGCAGTTACTGCAGCCTCTGCCCAGTGTCCCACACTCCCAAGTAATATAGGGCCTCACCCTACAGACTCTCTAAGTTGTTGCCCAAATAGCTGCCAAGTTGATTCAGAGCAAAAGCCTCTAGCCTGTAACTACTGCAGGGATCCTGCCCGCTACAGGCTCCTAGCAGGAACAAAAAGGAATTGGAAGCTAAAGACACTAGTCTCGGCCCTCAGAATTTTGTAGCTGAGCAACAGGGGACAGGGTCTTGAAGGGATAGAGTGAGATTAGGGGGAGACAAAGGCTGGGCTTTGAAGGAAGAGGAGGGGCAAGGGGCTAGGGGTCAGATGGTTTAACAAAAAATACCAAACACCTCTCCTCCCTCCCCCCAAATAAAAAAGAACACTGGTAAAAAATTCCGTTGAGGAAAAAAAAGGGGGGAGACGAAAAAGAAAAAGAAGTGCCGTGCCTTTAAATGGCCCTGCACTCCTCACTTCCTTGCTCCTCCCAGATGCAGCAGGAAAATTGTCCCCGCCAGACATTTCACATGTCTGGTATTTTCTGTTGTTTTTTTTTTAAACCAGATGGGGGACCCAAATAATGAACAGTACGGGTGAAAACTGGACACCTGGCATCCCTAGTCCGGTTATAAGCAATTCAAAAGGTGGCAGCCGTAAGTGTTACTGAGTTCTGCACACACCTACTCACCAGTTTGTCATCCTAATGCAGAAGGAAACATTCAGTTCAGGATTTGAGGGGGTTTTGTGGTTTTTGTGGGTTGGTTTTTTACTGTCCACACTAAGAGATTCAGAGAAATAGGGGCACATCTTATATCACCAGCCAGCTCTGCATGAGCTCATTCTAAAAGCCAGAGCACCAGAAAAAAAAATTAGTGAGTAAAAAGCCAGAGCAGCTTGTCCCAGATCTGCTTGGTCCTCACCCCGTAGATGATGGGGTTGAGCATGGGGGGTATCAGAAGGTACACACTGGCAATGAGAATGTGGAAATGCAGAGGTATATTATTTCCAAAACGGTACGTGAAGGCAGAGAAGAAACATGGGATGTAAAAGGCTAAGATGACACCGAGGTGGGAGCCGCAGGTCCCAAAAGTCTTGAGCCGGGCATCTTTTGTGGGGAGGCTGAAGATGGCCCTGAGGATCTGGGTGTAGGAGATTGTGATAAAAAACACATCCAGACCGAATACACAGAGTACCACAGAGAGGCTGTAGTAACTACTGACACGGATGTCAGCACAGGCCAGCTTCACCACAGACATGTGCCCACAGTACAAGTGGGGGATGATGTTGGTTCTGCAATATGGCCACTGCCTGGCCAGGAGGCAATTTGGTATTGTGAGTATGCTACTGCGCAGCAGTACGGCCAGACCGGTCATGGCCACCACGGGGTTTGTCAGGATGGTGGAATGTCTCAGGGGATGGCAGATGGCCACGTAGCGATCCAACGCCATGGCCACGAATATGCCAGACTCCATAAGCAAAGAGCAATGAATGAAGAACATCTGGGTGAGGCAGGCACTGAAATTGATCTCTCTGGAATTGAACCAGAAGATGCTCAGCATTTTGGGCAGGGTGGAGGTGCACAGGACCAGGTCGGTGGTGGCCAGCATGCAGAGTTCCATCTTCACAATGAACAGGATGGTGAAGTTCCCCAAGAGGGCTATGATGTACATGGCACAGAAGGGGATGGAGATCCAGACATGGGCCATCTCCAGACCAGGGATGCCCTGCAGGATGAAGGTGGAGGGGTTGGTGAATTCGGTTGTGTTGAAATCTGACATGGAGGACAGGAGAAGGTGTCCAACTGTAAGGCAGAACAGTGTCTGCTGCATGTACCGTAAGTTTTCCTGGCCACCTGTGTGCAGCCAGAGCTCCTAGAGTCGAGGGAGATGGTTGACGTGCCAATACCTGGATGGGGAGACAATGTATATATGAGACACTCTATGCGCTACTGGAGGCTGTTCTCATGGGTGACTCTGACTGGTCTCTTAACACACTGAAAAATGTTATTTTCATTATTCGCATAAATTAATAGTGAAAAAACTGACCCTACTAATGCAAAATCGATACATTACAGTGCACCATGAATCAATAATCTGTACATGATATGGTGTAAAAGCAGCGAGGAGTCCTGTGGCACCTTATAGACTAAACAAAGCAGCTTCTCCTCCCTTGGAATTCACACCTCCAGATCAGCTCCTAGAAGTGGGCCTCATCCTCCCTGATTGGATCCACCTCATCCTCTCCAGCCTGATCCTGGCCTGCATATTTATACCTGTCTCTGGAAATTTCCACTCCATGCATCTGACGAAGTGGGTCTTTGCCCATGAAAGCTTATGCTCCTACACTTCAGTTAGTCTATAAGGTGCCACAGGACTCCTCGCCGCTTTTTCAGATTTAGACTAACACAGCTAGCCCTCTGATACATGATATGGTGTGTGAACCCTAAATAAGCACTAGCAGAAACCCACATTCCTGATTATCCCTCCTTGTTCCTGAATGGACTGAAATGCAGGGGGAGAGTCCATGCTATTGAGAGTTCTCCGGTCAGTGAGTTGTTCCAATATGAATATGAAATAACAACTCCTGGGCCAACACGTATGCGGGGGAAACTTCACAGCCAAAACTCACTTTAAGGGAAAGACCTGGCTGTAACCGGTAGGAACTACAAAGAAATACCTGCTCATTCACAGCAATGGCCAAAACAAAGACAACGTTCATATACCTAATAGCATCTGATGAGGTGGGTTTTACCCACGAAAGCTTGTACCCTACGAAATCTGTTAGGGTACGTCTACACAGAAGTGTTATTTTGGAATAGCTGATGTTATTACGGAATAACATAGTCCATGTCTACACTACAAGCAGTTATTTCAACATAATGTCAAAATAATGTCAAGCTGGAGGATTTCATACTCTGACTCCTGTAACCCACATTTTATGAGTCCCAGGAAGAGCGCTCTTTCTCGTACTTCCTGCTGTGTAGACAGCACTAAAAGCCGAAATAAGCCATTTTGACTTAAGCTACGCAATTGACGTAGCTCAAGTTGCATAACTTATTTCGGCTTTAGCCTTGCTGTGTAGATGTACCCTAGGTCTCTAAGGGTGTGTCTACAAAGCAGGGCTTACCTTGAAATAAGCTGCGCCGCTTCATTTCCCTATGTCTAGAAACCTCATCTACATGGCTCCGTCGATGGAGCTATGTAGTCTAGACATACCCTTAGTTTCCTCTTTTCTAAGCTGAAAAGTCCAACTCTTTTTAATCTTTCTTCACATGGGACCCGTTCCAAACCCCCAGTCATTTTTGTTGCCCTTTTCTGAACTTTTTCCAATGACAAGATATATTTTTTTAGATAAGATGACCACATCTGTACCCAGTACTTAAGATGTGGGCGTACTATTAATTTATAGACCCAATAAGCCATTCTCTGTTTTATTCTCTATCCCTTTTTTAATTATTCCGTATATTGTGTTGGCTGTTCCTGACTGCCACTGCACATTGAGTGGATGTTTCCCATGGCTACGAAATCTCTTTCTTGAGTACTAAGAGCTAATTTTAGTCCCCATCAAAAAATTCATTTGCCGTTTTGTTGCCCTAGTTTTGTGAGACTCTTTTGAAGGTCTTTGTAACCCACACACCTAATGTGGCTCCGTGTCCCGTCTAAAAATAACTGGCTTTATAGCTCAAGCAGTAGAGACTCCTACACTAAGCTCCTGAGATGCTAGGTGCAAATCTGTCCAGTAGCAATTACATCTTCACCGGCTGCTTTGGTCTTATCTAGAGCAGCTTAGTATCATCTGAGATTTTGCCACCTCGCTGTTCACCCTTTCTCCAGATCATTTAAGAATATGTAGCCTTGCGGGACCCCACTCGTTACCTAAGGGCGGGACACCACCAGCCAGAGCCTCGAAATACAAAGGGCGGAGGTGAGGTTCTCGGAGCTTTCCCGCAGCCGACTCCTCTGACCTTTTCTCAGTTCTTATTCCACTGGGGAGTTTTGCTTTATTGGGGCCTGAGCAGCGAACAAGCCGCAGCCTCACAGTACAGCCTGGTGTTCTACACCCACTGACGAAGGACCCTGCGCCCCTAAATGCAGCCACCTCAGAGGTGGAGGCCACCAGCCAGGATGGGCAGGGAGGCCCGGCAGAAAAGCGACCTTTGGCCTGTGATTCTAGAAAACACTCATCCAGTGTGGCAGAGCCCGGGGCTGTTTAACTGGTGCGCAGAGCAGAAAAGACTCCAGAGGCGTCCTCTGTGCCACCCGCCCGCAGAGCACTGGGTTTACTGAGCCGGGGAGCCCCCAGCAGGAGACCGTACCTGTGAGTGCTGAGAGGGACGTGTCTTCCCTGGGACCCCCCCTCAGGCAGCCGCGTCCCGCACCTCTCTCAGCCCAGCATCTGCAGCAGCGTCCCGCACCGAGAGCCGGCACAGGGCTGGGCACTGGTTATAACCCAGCTCTGGGCAGTCCCAGGGGGGTTCCCTCGGCCTGTGGGGGAGAAGCAGCATCAGGATGCAAACAGGTGGCAGAGAAGCCTGTCGCCACGTCCATGCTCTCTACATTTGGAAGTAAACAGCAATTAAGGGGCCTTCCCAGAGGGGGAGAACTCGGGCTCTGGGCTGAGGCATGGAGGAATTAGCGGCTGTTTGTAATTGTGTCTATTTAACTATGACTGTTGATTAGTAAGAAAATGAGGGCAAACACCTAGCTCTCCACGGAGTCTAATACAATGACACCGCCCAGGACGGCTGGGCAGGCAGCAGACAGACAGATCTGCAGGCAGGTGACGGAGGGAAGACACGAGGACTTTATGCAGGCACACGGGGCTGCTAGGTGGGATCAGACGTCGGTCGTTCCCATCGGTATCTTCCATCACACTGGGCAGCGCCTTTCACTGACGGATCCCTCGATCACCCAGCAAAGCCAGTTCCCCCGGTGTTTACCATACACATTCCCACACCCAACGCTGTCCATGGGACACACCCAGCCCACGTACTTAGCCTCTTTAACAGGGCTCCTACAATTCACAGGCTCTTCTCCTGCTCTTCTATCTCCCTGGATTCTGTTATTTCCTCTCCAGTTCACCTCATGAAGTGGGGGTCTCCCAAGGAAGCTCCTGATCCTATAGATTGGAGTTAGTCCCTCAGATGCCACAGGACTACTCATTCTTTTCAAAGTCACAGACTGGCACAGCGACCCCCTGAGACTCTCTAGCCAAGGCAAGGCCCAATGAGCAGTTCCCCATTATACAGATAGGTAAGGTGAGGCACAGGGAGACGTGACTTGCTCAAGGTGACGTAGGGTATGTCTACACTACCCCGCTAGTTCGAACTAGCGGGGTAATGTAGGCATACCGCACTTGCAAATGAAGCCCAGGATTTGAATTTCCCGGGCTTCATTTGCATAAGCCGGGCGCCGCCATTTTTAAATCCCCGCTCATTCGAATCACGTGCAGCGCGGCTACACACGGCACGAACTATGTAGTTCGAACTAGGCTTCCTAGTTTGAACTACCGTTACTCCTCGTGGAGTGACAGGGAGTAAGCAGGAGTGCAGGATTTCCAGCTCTCACCACGGTCACTCTAGGAGTAACTGAGCGTATGGCTGGAAGGGAAGGGGCTGTTCACCCTGGGACTGGGGCACAGCCGAGCCCTCTGACACCCCAGCCTGGGTCCTTCTCCCACTGCCAGGCTGCGACAAGCTGTGATTCTGTTCAGGCCTCGCACCGACACCCCCAGACAGGGGGCAGGGCACTGCCAGTGAGTGAGAGAAATACTTCCACTAGCCAGCTCCCCCAGCTCTCCCGCCCACGGCCCCAGAGCTGTTCCTGTTCCTGAGCAAAATTCCCCCTGACTTTTCCAAAGCCCTGTGGTGGGCTGGCAGCCCCAGTCTGGCTAGAAGGGGACAAGGCAGAGCCCTGGCCAATGAGGGACAGGCTTATAAGGAGCCAATGAGAAGGTTGCTTGCTGGAGCAGCTCTGCTTATAAGGAGCTGCTGGGCGGAGCAAAGGGCAGTTGGGCTCTGACCAGCGAGGGTGCAGGACCGACTCCCAGTGGAGGAGGAGCAGCTCCTTGGGCAGAGCAGAGCAGGGCAGGGCAGGCTCAGGGGAATTAGAGAGGGAAGCTCTGGCCTGATACCCACTGGACTGTGGCCTGGACACCAGGGCCAAGAAGGTGCCAAGGAATAATGGGGAAGTGGCCCATGGTGCAAGAGGCCGTAGAGGGGAGAGAAGGAGGCAGAAGAAGGTTGATGCCAGAGGGCCCTGGGGCTGGAACCCAGGGGAGTGGATGGGCCTGGGTCCCCTCCCCTCCCAATTGGATCGATATCTTGTTGCCATTGGAGTGTAGCCCTGTGGTACTGATGCTTGCCTCTGAGGGGTGGGATAGACATTGGCTGCAGTTGGCCATGGTGATAGGCATGAGCGGAGGACTGCTGATACCTCCAGGAGGGGGTGAGGCACCAGAGGGGTGGGCTTTGCTGGAGGGCCGTGCCATGAAGAGGACACCGTGGTCCTGGGAGCAAGACGGGTCCAGAGCTAGAATGTGGAAAGAGCGCAGAGCAATGGCAGGTGAGACACCAGCCAGAAGGGGGCGCCCTCCTATGGGCTGAGCT